ATTTTTATATTTATTTCAAATCTAGTTACCAAATTTTTATATCGGCAATGATTTTGAGTAACTGGCTTTATGTTTTACACAAATGTTTTTAATCTACGTATATAAAACATCGGAATTAATGTCCTTAAAATAAAGTTCTAATCGAGTCTCTCTGACATTTTACCTTCGAAGCATCTCCTTTTAGAGCCCAACATTTATCGACCATCATTTTGGGTTCTTTTATAATGTCTTTTTATCATACAGGTATCCTAAAGGAAATGTTCTCTCTGCTTGTCTCTTACGGCTTCAAAATATTTTGGAGAAGTCAAGATAAGGGTCCAAAATTGAATCTCAGGGTATTTGTCTCTCCCTTTAGCTTTATTAGTTAGCTGATTAGAAGTTACCTGATTAGTTCTGTTAAATTTTCTAACTTTTGGCTTCATAAGAAGATCGTCTCTCCGTTTTCAAGAGACAGATACTTCAAATTCAATCTTATTTAATGTACTTCATGTTTAGGTTTTCTCACTAGTTTCCTAACTTGAGAATTAACAAAGATGTGTTCTTTAAGTTTGATTTGGCTCTGAAGCTGTCAAATTTTGCTTTGGAAAAAGAAATCTTCTCTATTTCTCTGCATTGTCATAGCAAAACGTTTTCATTAAACTTAGTTTCATATGAAGAAACGGCAAGTATATTTTCTAAGAACGCATGAAGAACTAGGAAATTACGTTTTTTTTTGTCTCTGGAATTGATATCCGTCTTTTAGTTTGGAACTTTGTAATGCCAAGTTTTTCTTTAGCGCAACTTTTCTCAAACGCACAAAAGGAGCATCAGATTAAACACCCAACTTGTAACACAAGGAGCAGAATTATAACTTTCAGATTTCCACAAATGTGCCTTGAGTGTTTTTTGTAATTTACACCGGTAAGAATTTTGGTTTCCTTTTTTTTTTAATATGTGAAGAATAAGCAAAGGACACTGGCGAAAAAAGTAATTTTTGCTGCGAAACAGAACTCTAAAGCTGTATTCTAGGAAATTATGGACAGTTTCCATTATTTATAATTTTACTAGTTTTCCAAGCATCCGATGATAAATCTATTTGATTTCAATTTCAAAAATGTTCGTTTTTGGACCTGAGGGATTGGGAAATTATCAAATTAACTCGTGCTCTCTCGGATGAAAACTGCACTTATTTGTATGTTTTTCTAAGCAGTAACATCTATCTCTTAAATCTTAAAGCTAAAATCTCAGCTTGATTTTTAATAAGAAGATCATTTAAGCCAAACAGACTTGAGATGGCGTATGTCGGAATTGAGGTAGACAGCCAAACTGACTTCTAAAACTAGACTGATTAGACATAGTATGTGTCGGGGTTGAAAAAGACAACCAAACGACCTCTAACATTCAACAAAAAATGGAAAATTCTGTTACAAAAAAGGCCTGAAGGAGAACTCCTGACATTTTAATCAAAATCAGTCCAGCGAAATAAATATATAGGAATCTCTAAATTGTTTATATGTAATGAAATCATTGATGATCGCTATTATCATTCCTTCTAAATATAAGGCCAGATCTGACACTATCAACTCCCAATACAACTCCGTACATACAAGATTGGAGAGTGAGTGACCTGCCGTCACTCAGTGATCACAAAATATTACTTACAAGCTGGATACTCCTATAGACTACATAATAAAGAAAAGTTCAAAACGGCATTTAGAGGATATTCCGTTTTACGGGAACACATTCGAGCGCATGTAGAGAAATTTACCAAAGATTTCAACAACTGCCAGGGCAGAAACTCCTTAGATAATCTCTACGACTTACTAGTTACAAAAATAGTGCAAGCCGCTCACAAAGCATATCGTTTGAAATCTGTAAAGGCAAAACACTCCATATCCTGTTGGTCACCAGAGATTAACACAGAGAGGAGCAGAGTTCGGGTACTTCGGAGAAAAGCACAATCCACGGTAGATCCATATCTACGGCAACTCAAAATGATAACATACAATAAAGCAAGAGCTTTATATAAAAGAAAAATTAAAGAGGCCAAGTTAATCTCATAGAGAACTTACTGTAGTAATGTCACTAAAGCCTTTGGACCTACTCAAAAGATAACATATAACAAGGTGTTCCGTCCTACGACCCTTTCGCCTATGGTGAATAGCATTGCCTCATCCAACATCGAAGTAATCAGTGAGATCATAAATGCAGTTTTTCCTGATGATGACGAAAAGGATTTCTTAGAGGAGCAAGAGGAAGCGAGAAAAACCTACAGTATGAAATTTCGCTAAGTTACCAGAATTTACCACTCCTATGCAAATGGAAGTGGATAACATCATACGTACTCTGGCATCCAAAAAGCTCCAGGTCCGGATGTAATTGATATATCATCATTAGAGAGATACACCGGGAATTCCTAAAACTATTCTTTGCGGTCATTTCAGCTTGCTGGAAACATCAGCACTTTCCTAAAAATATGAAGTTGGCAGAAGTGGCTTTATTCCTAAAATCAGGCAAAACTCCGGCAGAACCTTCATCTTACAGGCCAGTCTGTCTACTGCCAGCGTTCGGTAAGATATTGGAAAAAGTAATTCTTTACAGACTTGACTTCTTCCTGCAAAGGAACAACGCCCTGCATCCCAACCAATATGGATTCCGAATGGGCAACTCAACTGAGCATGCCATAAAAGACTTAATGGCCACTATCAAACAGAACAAGGACAACAATTTGCACTCGCTGGCAATAGCCATTGACATCAAGGGAGCCTTTGACTCCCTTTGGTGGCCAGACGTAATTAATTTGCTGCACAACATGGCCTGCCCAATAGTCATTATTACCATCCTTCGCTCGTACCTTCAAGATCGAAGTGTACAAGTAACATCAGACAGCGGCATTTATGTCAAAAATATCTTTAGAGGGTGCCCACAGGGGTCATGCCTTGGACCAACACTGTGGAATATAGTGGCAAACTCGGCATTTCGTCAGTTCGAGAGCGTATAATACGCTCGAATCATAGCCTATGTGGACGATTTTATGCTAGTTGTGACAGGAATGAGTAACCTCGAAATGAGATCTCAATACTGTCTTGATCTGTTCTCCCAATGGGCCAGAGCACATAAGCCTCAGATTTCGGCCGAGAAAACTAAAGCTTTACTCATAGGACGCAGCAGGCAGCTTAGACGCAACCCAAACATTAAACTCCATGGGATACCGGTAAAATGTTTCCCCCAATTGAAATATCTTGGGCTATTACTCGACAACAGACTTTCTTGGATGCCACATGTCAGGAATCTTGAGACTCAAATTAGCATCCTAACCAACAACATGAGACGCATGACTTCACATAAATGGGGTATCTCATCTAAGCTACTAAAAATTTGGCATAGAACCATTACAGAAAGAGTAATAACTTAGAGAGCAGCAATCTGGGGTGGCGAACTTACCTCTCATATGAAAAGATCCCTGCTCTCTAGTCAGAGACAGCAGCTACTTCAAGTATGCAGGGCCTACCGTACCACGTCAACACAAGCCCTACAACAACTGGCTGGAATTCCTCCCCTAGATTTGATAGTAAAAAGGGAGACAGCTATCGTAAGGGTTACCAGGCTGGGTCAAACTTCAACACTCTGGGGTCATAGTTATCACCACTCGGACTACGAGGAGCAAAACAACTGCAATAACTTTCATCCAGTAGCTTTTAATCTCTCCGACGGTAGCAGCATAAACGACCAACCAATTCAGAGGAACAGTAATAACCTTTTCCCAGATGGCTCCAAAACTGAGAACGACACAGGCAGCGCCTTTTGTAGACTGGAAAATGGAGTTGTAACATTCGAGTGGGAAAGGAAACTAGGCTTGAACAACTCGGTATACCAAGCAGAGCTTCTAGCTATCAGTGCTGCAATTAGATATGCGAACACATGTCAACAGGAGAAATTCTCCATACTCAGTGATTCGGCATCAAGTCTGGCGGCTATCGCAAGTCAAAACAGCCGGGGTCCTTTCGTATATCGAATTCAGAAACAGCTTCTGACAATGCCTATTTCGCAAAGACCCACTTTAAAATGAGTTCCCGCTCACACAGGGAATCAAGGCAATGAAGCCGCTGACCTACTGGCCAAGCAGGCAGCCAACTGCACGGATATATTAGAAAGACCAACTAAACTTCCTTGGTCTCATATTAAGCGAACAACTTTGACAAGTCTGCTACAAAATTGGCAAAGTAGATGGACAGAGGCAGAGGGTAGGACGAAGGACATTTCGCTTACTGCCAAAAGTTAACATGAAAATAAAGACCCACTGTGCTAGCCTAACACAGTTCTTGACAGGTCATGGACCATTCCCAGTATTCCTGAACAGATTCAGACTTAGGGATACTCCTTTCTGCGAATGCGGAGAGGAAGGCGACATGGACCATTATTACTTCCATTGTGTACATACAAGAACCTGGCACTTGAAGAAACCAGCGGACTGTGCCTGGTCAATATGGACGTCTAACACACTCAGAACAGAATAGCCCTTGATAAAATAGAGAAAATCTCAAGACACTGCTTAAGCAGAAACAACAGTGAATAATATTATGTTTCAAATGTTCAGAACTTAAAGCAGATAACCGGAATAACGCTTAGTGCCTGCAGTTACCAATATGTAAAAACTGTTATTAGTATGGTAATATTCAACCTTGTTACTTTGGAGTCTTCCCCGCCGTGATGGTATATAATTCCGTTTAGTTCATGTCCGTGGTCGGAAGCCATCATAGCGGTGCACTCACTCACTCACTAACTCTGAATAAATGTTTTATGATTCATGTTTGCGAAATATATTAATTTCCCTGACAATTGTCAGCTATTTCAAAGAAATGTTAGGATATTTTCTTATTTCTTGTTTATATGCATAATATGTTCTACTTTTAATAACTGCTAACATTTTATTAACTGACTAATATTCTACTTTTATTAGTTATTATGCTGAATGATATCTTCAATTTCTATATTTGGAATAACGCGTCCTTTCTTTCCAGGCTTGTTAAATGTGGTGGTGTATCTAGCCAAACATTTGGTTCGCTGGAATGACTGTAAACGGAGTTACGCAGCTAAAAGATCTATCACTTCAAATTTCATTGAATATATTGCACCTCAAGATGATCAAAAAAAGAAAAAAGAGGAATCACTTCTGATGAAGAGACTTCTTTAAATAAAAATAAAATAAAAGTGAATTGAATGATATATAGACAAAAAATTGAAAGTTATATTGTACATTGTCAAAAGTGTAAATAACATATATGTAAAGAATGTTTCAAAAGTTAATTTCATCAAGATGACTTCATTGTCCCATATTGTGAGAAATTACTTGTATGAATATTTTGTATTTATGCATGGTTGTGTTTGTTATAATAAAGATATCACAGGAAAAAAATGCAGTCATTCCTCTTTCTTATCTTTAGCTTAGCGATGCCACTCGTAAGCTAAATTACATATTACACTTACATTAAATAATAAATTAACAGAAAAGTTTTACGATAATTGCTTCTCAAGCTAGTGCAACTTCCTTTACATAAGCTGCAAAATTTAATTTAAATTGCTAACCAGATCTTTTTTTTTATTTTCATGCATGAATTTTCATGCATCAGACTCAAGCCAAACTCAAGCCAGGGATGGCTCATGTCTGTGTCACAGGCTGTGGCTCCCGAACCACAGCTTCTTTCACTCTCAAATATCGTTCGCGTTCCAAAAATCCCTAATTTTAATTTCGAAACACACTAAAGTGACATTGAATTAGGGATACCGGATTGTTAAAAATTTCCTCCTCTTTTGGCCATGATATCGAATTCCTTTACGACAAGGCATATATTCACCAATCTACTACTAAGCGTTTCACAAGTATGATCACAAGTATGACCTACCTAATGTCTTCTAGAATGTCCCATTCTATACCTGTTAAGAACGTTAATGGTGAATGACGTGTTTGCACATCTTTTCACAGTATGGCCCAGAGATATTCAACGGAATTTATATTCGGGCTTTCAAAAGCCTACAACAAGGCATATGTTTACCAAATCAACGGAAGTGTTTCACAGGTATGGCCTGCCAAACGTCTTCTAGAATTTCCCATACTATATCTGTTAAGAACGTTGGTGGTGAATGACTTGTTTGCACACCTTTTTAAAGTGTGGCCAAGAGATATCCAACAGAATAAGTTCGGGCTTTTAGATGGCCATTTTCTGCAAGGAGAATTCAGTGGTATACTCCTAGAACCAAGTGTTAGCCAACCGTGATAGGAGCAGTTGTCCTGATGGTACACTTGACGTCTATACGGATGACAGAAAAACACGAAAAGATGTGAGTGATCTTCCAGCAGATTTGGGGTTTGCGCCATAGTCTTAGCGTAAAATCAGAGAAATGTAATCGCGATACATTACTCGCTGCTACTTGCTAACAATCGTCGATGTTCCAGCACTGATTGTGAATTTGAAATAATATGCGTGGAAATGACAATAGAGACATGCACGTGTAATCGTGTCTAAACGTTTGAGTGAACTTCGCTGACAGTTGAATAATTCTGAAACGGAGTTTCTCCAGTGACAAAAAACTAATGCGTGAACTTTATTTTCCGTCTTTACTTTAATCCTAAGAAGTAATGTGCGTAAGACTGAAAAATGATAATTTCAGACCTGATAATTTGAATCAATGTGTTTACATCAGATGTTTAAACATAGTTTTTGTATTATATTAAAACTGTATTTTTGAAAACTTTTTTGATTACAATTTAGAAATACTTTTTAAAACTCTCTTGAAGTAGATAATTTATCCTTTGAATATTATGTACCAATAAATTTGAGCCTACCTTACTTAAAATGAAAAAAGCTCTTGCATGATTCAATTTTGAAATTTTCGACTAGTACTAATGTGATGTGGTTGGGCAGAAGGAAAATTGTTTGTCTTAAAAATGTGCTAATTATATTTTGCCGAACATAAAGGTAAGTTTTTTCCTAAATGAAGTAACCACTGAAATATAGAATACATGTATTAGTTACTGAAGGAGTTAACGCAAGACATGCAAGGTCAGGGCATCATATGTTTGCATTACTGAAGTATTGTGTGAAAATTTAGATAATCATATGGCAGCTGGGGACGCTTACATTGTTTTTTCTTTTGGTCCATTTTTCTATTCAAGTACGAGTCTAGAATCCCATTGTAACATTTAATATTTTGTGTTATTTTGTTAAAACATATATAATCAAACATTTTTATGCATACTTTAATTTTCATCATTATTAGTTTGAAGAAGAAAATTTCAGATTTTTTTCCGTGAATTTCTTTTAAAATAGAGTTGTGAATTATTAATAGAGCTTACGTAATGTAATTTGTTAATATTTATGTTACGTAACATTAAATGTGCTAATCTTGGGAGTATAAGATAGAAATGTGAATTATTTATTTGAAAAAAGTTACGTGATGTGAAATCTCATATAGCGGTTATTTCCTTAGATGACCAACTCTGACAGTGACATATTTGTCAGGAACATTATTAAATAACAGTACTTAAAATAACTTATAGATATGTAAGGCTACAAGAAACTGGCATTATCTGGAATTGTGGAGTTAATTGTTTTAGGCAAGTTTCACTGTCTAATTAGTTGATTTAGATGTAGTAATTTTTACGTGGGTATAAATTTTGTAAAAGTAATTGAAAGGTTTTACAAGGCAGTTAAAGCCAAAGCATTTCAGATCGTAAGTTTTGTAAGGACGCTGTTTTAGAATTACTTTCAAATATAGTTAGAGAGCATTTAAACATTATTTTCTTACATTAGTTATACTGCGGGAATAGCAGTTATAATTTTTTGCATTAAATTTATCTGTTTGTACAGATATTATTATAGATAAAACTGCTTGTAAACAAATGTGACACAAGTAAAAGTTGTATTTGCTTTTACTTGGGATGACAGTAATTTTAACATACACCTGTGTAGAAAATTTGTTTATGCTGCTAAATACTGCATTACATAAATTTCATTTGGCAGTGTAAGTACAAGAAATGCTTAGCACTTTTTGAATATTATTTTTATATTTTTTTCTATAGAGATTTAGTTTTGTTAAATCAGTTACTTAATGAAAAATTACTGAATTTTATTTAAAATTATTTTTCATGCTTTCACCCCTATATAGTTCTTTTCATTTCACCAGTGCTAACTGTATACTTTTGCTGGTTTATGTATATAATTACTAGATTTTATGGAAAATTGGTTGATAGTTCTATTTTTGGGTATTGCTTTTTACAGGAATTCTGCGTATGTATACCCATATGATTATATTGGTTTTGTTATGGGCTTTTGTCTGCTGTTTTTTGCGGAGATTTTGTCAAAAGGTACCGATATTAGTCTGTAGGTTTTTGTGTATTGGTTTCTATAGGGATTTGGCCGACGGGTACTCTTATAAATCTACAGGTTTCTGTCTACTGGTTTTTACGGGAATTTGGCCTACGGGTACGCCTTAGGTCTAAGGGTTTCTGTGTACTGGCTTTTACTGGGATTCTGCCTATGGGTTAATTGTTTTAGAAAAGTTTCACTGTCTAATCAGTTGATTTAGATGTAGTAATTTGGTACTTACGTATTATCGCAACCAGGTTGGCGCGATTTGTAAGTTTGAGTAAAAAAGTATGAATAGAAAGAAAATGTACATTTATTAATTACAGATAATTTTTATACAGTTTTTATATTATTTGTTTTAAAATATAAAATAGCAATTAAACCCTTCCGGTTTCGAATTTTGAATAAGTTGCAGAATTATTTTTTTTTGGCGGAAATCTTTTGGCTATTGCTTTTAGCACTGATTGAAAACCGTCTTCTCCATTAACAGCTTGAGCTTGGCGCCATATAAATTCGATAAGATATGAGTCAAGATGATGACGGGCCTGTTCCTCTCTGTTTTTGTTTGCGCCCATTTGGCCTGAGCCCCACATGCGCTCTACATGTTGTGTTGTGTGAACGCCGTGTTGGGATCCACAAAGTTATATTTGTGATTACAATTCCATGCAGAAATCCAGCATTTTTGAACTCACTTGTATTGTATCCTTTCCAGCAATCCGAATAAATGATGCTTCCTTCCTTGATATTTTTTTCCATGAGGGTAACGGTGCTTCTGTTAGGTACAGTAACCAAAAAAGTCTCTTTCCTTTCTCGGCAAATTTCGTCGAAAACCCATTGCTGTGGTAGTACACGCCCAGTGTTATTTTTTCTTTTTACAAATAAATTCTTTTTACAAAACAACGTATAACACGTAGGGTTGCCGTAAGTAGGGTCGCCAAATTTGGCGATTTATGCGAGTTTTGGCCTGGTTGCGTTAATACGTAAGTACCAGTAATGGTTACGTGGGTATGAATTTTGCAAAAGTAATTGAAAGATTTTATAAGGGAGTTAAAGCCAAAGCATAGGTATACGGGTTTTTGTTCTGCTGGTTTTACAGAGATTTGTTTTATGGGTACACGTACAAGTCTGTTGTTTTCTTCTATGGAAAACCGTGGGCCAAATGCCCATACAATTTTTTTATGGATAGGTACGGGTCATTTTTAGTAGGGAGTATACCTCCACGGAGGGAGAGACAGATATTGGCGGCTCTACAATCGGTAAAATATTTAGAGAATTCTTTGGTAAAGAAGCGTAAGTGTATACTGATCATGCAGCACTTACTTTTTCAAGAAAGAATTAATTGCCAAATTTAACAAGGTGGGCCAGACTACTGTAATGTGGAGATAATACGTGACTGATGTCTTGTTCAGAATGAAATCGGATGGAATATGTAAGTGTTCACTATGAACTTCAAACACTTTAGATTCCCGGGAGACAGACAGGAATCTAAAGGTTTTGAGTAAGACGGGAATCTAAAGTGAATTAATGAGAATTTAAAATATTTTGAGTAAGACGGTTTTTGAGTAAGACGGGAATCTAAAGTGAATTAATGAGGTAGATACAGAATTTAAAATATTTATACTTTCTTAATGGATCTTTATAATACTGAGAGTACAGAGATAAGAACCGTAGCAAAGAAAACAACGCAGGCGAAAACGTCGTGGTACAAAATATCTTGGGAGAAAAGAAAGTGTAATATAATGTAATGGAATATAGTATACGCGCGTTCTGCAACCTTCTGGGCCGATAAAAATCGGTCTCATTGTTAACGCAGGACACCCAACACAGATTGAAATAAAAATACAGTTAAAAACATCAAATCAAAATTTCCAATATCTATGTTAAAAACATCAAATCTATTGCCATTTATAGAGTTCATCAAATCCTTTGCAAATCTAAATTCTTTCCTGCGGCAATAGAATTCCTTTATGTTACATGTTTTTCCCTAACATGTGTTACAAAGCTGAAAATTTGAGCGAGTTTTGACTTTTTAAACTTTAACTACCTTGGT